TCTGTGAGCAGGGGTCTATGTAGGGACAGTAAAGCCCCAATTCAAAGTTTTCCAGTGGATTCCATTGCTTTATCAAATCCACGGAAAACAAAATTTCCTTCAGTTCCCACCTTTGTTATTATGAATTAATAATCAATTATTATCATTACTATTCCAACATCCTGGGGACAGCTCTATGGGAGTTGGGGTGGAAATGTACTACCTTGGTAGGAATTAAGAAACAAAAAATTCAATTTTTTTTGTCAAGGAAGGTTTTTATTGAGTGGTATAATAAAACAGAGGCCATATATCATGCATGGAGTGGATGGCAAATATGTTATTACTATGCATAGAAGTCATCCATACAAACAGAGTAGTATGCATTAATAAGCGTAAACAGCAATAACATTCTATGGGTAGATAGTGAGCAGCATAAACCGTGTATAAAACATGCTCATTACACTAGGACTAGGCTAAACTTTGACTGGCTATCACATAAGCTAGTATTCTCACGGGTGTAATAGAAAAACTCCTAAATGAGCAAGATGATAAAAAAAAAAACATATAAAAAAAGAAAGAAGGACACAAACACCATACTAGGCTTTAATCTAAGGAGATGTCTTGAGAATTATCTGTCTGCTTGCCGCCGGTTAGTAATTTTATGCCAGAGTAGGAGAGAGATGGCAAGGACCTCCTGTCTCCTCGTCAACTGGCCCAATGCCTCAATAGAACAGCAACTGGCTTCCAGGCCTGTTTGCAAGCATAGGCACCTTGTCTCCCTGTCAGAGAGCTCCTGGAATCACAGACTGTCCCCCGGTCACAGACAGACAGTCACATGCAGGCCATCGTCTGCCCAGTGAAGTCTCATGGCATTTCCTCTGTCTTGTCTTGTCCTTCAAGTAATGATAGTTCTGCACGGCGCAATATCCCATAAGTGCCTGCTGCCTGAAGTTAGTCAGCCCTGTCAACTTGCACCTCCATGCACCACGCCAGTAGCTGACTGGGGCCCTCTCCACTATCTGGCTCAGTAAGCTGGATTGGAAAGATAATGCATGCTGTGTTATATTAGACTTGGAGACCGATAGGTTTGAGCTAGTTGCCACTCATAGCCAAAATGCTGATCAAATTCTCAAGAAAAAAATCTGTCATGGCAGGAGCAGGATCGGCAGCCATCTTGGAGCCTACAGGTAAATATGGTGCAAATTGGAGATAGTGGATGCTAAACCATGGGGTGCTGTATTGGGCAGTGCAGACCGGAATAGCCCCTGCAGGCCAAAAGGGAGGGGGAGGGGGGCAGAGCCCTCAGAAAAGCAGGAGTACTACAAAGTGGAGAATCTCATCTGCCTTTCCCACCTTGAGTTGACTAGCTGGCCACAGACATTGAAGATGTCAATCAAGAAAGGTTGCAGGACACTCTTCAGACGATTAGATGTCAGACGGTTGCGTAAAATGTTTGAAAAGAAACTTAACCACTTCATGACTAGCCTTTTCTGAGATCCGAGATTCTGTTCTTTCCTAACCGAGACCCTTTTGTGCACCTTTGCTATGTATTAAAAAATTACGTGTGAAGAATATGTTTAAAAAATATTGTTTAAATGCCTCATATTTTTAGGATTTCGATCAATTTTTGGAGGTTGTATGACAAGTATTTTAAAGAGAGAATCGCGATTTTAAAGCGGAATCTTTTTTGAGACTATAACTTTAATAATAGTTTCTACTCCACCCTCCTCACCCCGAATTTGTATGCCACAGCCTGGAATGTTGTGGACAGGTTAAAAAACAAAACTACAATCTAGTGACATTAAAATTTCTAAAATTCCTTACAAATCTACGACCAAACCTGACTTTGTATATGCAGCAGAGATCTGGGAAAAAAAGACTATATAGACTTATAGGACTGGGGAAAGTTGACAGAAACGTTGAGACACTGGTAACTAAAATCTGGCAACGGTTTCAGTTTAGGAGAAAGGTCACCAAAGTATTTGTTTACACATGTAAAAAGGCATCCTAGGGGAGATTTATAGATAAAATAGATTAAAGGATTGTTCTAATGACTCTCAGTGAGCCCAGATAACCTTAAAGTAGATGCCAGGTCATCCTCAGAAACCTGAGGAAAAATAATCAGACATTTCACATTCCACAACAGAAATACTTCTCATTAGAAGTATTTTTTTTCTGAACGGGAAATAGAAGAATGCATTTTTAAGGAAGTAATGATACAACCCAGGTAAATGATTAAATTCAAACCGAATTAAAATTTTGGCAAAGACAAAATGGTAAATTGCTCTCAAGAAGGGGCTATACTTTAAAAGAAAACTCCAAGCAGTAAAACCACTATCACATCATCCCCAGTTCCTAGTGCTCTCTTTCTGTATATCTTATTAAATATCATGTCATCACAAGGGTTAAGCTACCCTTCTTCTGACATATACACGATCAACTGTGGCATGCATATTCAAGGTTCTAACGGCTCTCTCATATATCTAAAAAAAACTAAACGGTTCCTGTACAACAGCCACCTGCAGGTAGCACCATTCATAAAATATGAATGAAACTACTTACTAATGGTGCCATGATTGCCATGGTGCCACTCAATACATGTAGTGAAACCAAATTAGAACTGTTTGACCTTTTAAACTGGGATCTGCTTTGGGCTGCAGTTTACCTCTCAGAGAGACAAAGGCTTTCTGCCTAAATTAAGACTGACAATGCAGGGCCTAGCAAAATGGCTGAGAGCGATCAGTTCTCTGCCAATGAGCTAGCAGTGCCTGGTTGGGCTTAGCTCAGGAGAGCCAATCATTATTATTATTTTATTATTTATATAGCGCCAGCAAATTCCTTAAAGCTGTACAATGGGATGGAAGCTTCAGGCTTTCAGACCTGAAAATGAGAGGCAGAGAACGACGCCTGGTTGACCCCACTTAAGCCAAACCATTCTAAAATGGTTTACATTAGGTGCTTGCAAGGGCACTGTGGGAACCATAACCACTTCAGTGTGCAGTAGTGGTTTGGTGTTTGAAGCGTTCCTTTAATTATTATGTTACTGTGATTCTGCTGCAGCTTTAATTCATGGATCTTGTTAATGAGCAAACACGTCATTGTTTTATATGCTGTAACTCTATAAAGCAAATTCTGTGTTATTTTTAGTAATATTCGATGTATGATGCATTTAATCCGGCAATTAGGAGATAATCGTGTTTGTGCAGAGGAGGGTGTTCGTGTCTATTGAATTTCTTGTTTGTATATGTGTAACATAAGACTAATGTGCCTTTCCCATATAGCATGCACATACTACTTAAAGAGGGGAAGATGTCATTGTAAAATAGACTTTATTTATAAAGGCAGCAATACAGGTATTGGTCATTTCAGATATCCACCACAATGACTGTTCCATTGTCATCAAGGCACAGGGGTGTCAGTATTTACATTTTAAAATTATAGTGACCACTCCTTTATTATAATTAAATAAAATTAATAAAACGATCTCATTAAGTGGCAATAATAACCTAAGACATGACATTCTACTGCTAATACAAGGGATGGAGCCACAACCAGGATCTGATCCCCGTAAACTTCGATAACTACCAACTAAAATTTAATGAAAAGTGAAATACACTCACATTATATAGACACTGTTCTGAATAAAGTGAACACACATAGATTCATAAAATCATTTGTTTTGTTCTTTTCATGTATATTGTTGGATTCAATACAGATTTCACTTAAAATTAGCTGATCTTCTTCAAGGACCACTATATATATACAAAAATAGATAGCTTGGCACTCACCCTATCTCCCATGAAGTTGATGTATTTATGTCTTAGTGCAATCCCACGTTATCGAATATATGGAGAAATAAGAGATGCACTCTCAGGTCTTTACAAAAAATCCGTTAGAATTTATTCAGTAAAAATGTTACATCATCTGACCTGGTCCTCAGATTGATGGGATTGAGTGCAGTTCCTTATGTTTGTTTGGAAACACATACACTCACTGACAGACACACACACACACTCACTGACAGACATACGTGCACACACGCTGACAGACACACGTGCACACTCCCTGACAGACAAACACATACACTGAAGGACACACACACTATTAGACATACACATTCACTGACAGACACACTCACTGACAGACACATATACACATATACACTTAGAGGGACAAAGGTTTAACAATAATATCAGGAAGTATTACTTTACCGAGAGGGTAGTGGATGCATGGAATAGCCTTCCAGCTGAAGTGGTAGAGGTTAACACAGTAAAGGAGTTTAAGCATGCGTGGGATAGGCATAAGGATATCCTAACTATAAGATAAGGCTAGGGACTAATGAAAGTATTTAGAAAATTGGGCAGACTAGATGGGCCGAATGGTTCTTATCTGCCGTCACATTCTATGTTTCTATGTTTCTATGTTTCTCTCATTGACAGACACACACCCACTCAGAGTCAGACACACACTCACACACACACTGAGAGACACACATACACAGTCACTGACAGACACACACATACACATTAACTGACAGACACACAAACTCAATGACAGACACACATACATACACACTCAGTGACAGAGATGTCACATTCCGGCTCCGACATCATTACGAGGCGCACGAGGGAGCAGAGCTCAGGGGATAGTGCTCCCTCACCACCTTCCACAAACAGAGCAGATGCCAGCTTGGGAGGGCCCTAAGGTGGCTAGCAGGCCAGCTCTTGGGCCCCCCAGGACAAAAGGCTGACAAGGTATCTGCCGGGGCGTAAAAATGCTGCCCCCCCCTGAAAGTGCCGCCGAAAGCAAATGCCTTCCCAGCTTCGCTCTAAATACAGTGCAGACTGTCTCCTGTACAGCAATTTTAACAAATGACAGGAGGCTTCCAATTTGCATAACTCTCACTTACTGAAAAATCTCCAGCAGCACAGAAACAGTAACAACCAATCAGAAAAAAGTCAGATGGCACATAAAAGGCCCTGACAGTGACATCATTTCCTCTTTCTTTGCTGCTCCAGCCTGCACAAGTCAGAGTACTTTGTCTCTCCTGATTTTGTACTAAATTGTACTTATAAATGATTGTTCTATACTACCTACTCTTACTTCTTATCCACTCCCTAACAGCTCTCATGTCCCTGTACCCTCCGTGCTCCTTATTGCCCTTATTTTGACTTGTCTCCAGTCCCATTAATTTTTTCTCTGCTTTGCCTTAAACGTCTCTCTACACTCACCCCAGTCTGCGGGCGGCACGGCTATCAGTGCCACGATCGCACCATGGACCTTGCGGTTAGTCATTTTAATTGTGTTTTCTAGGACTGTGGGGGGTTGGGTGAGGGAGAGCGGGATTCTGATCCGCAGTGCAATGGGCGGGAACGCTGCTTTCTGCTGCGTGCGATCGTCGGCCATCTCTCCACTCCCCTCTGCAGATCGGGAACTCACTCGATCCACTCCTCAACATAAAAAAAAAAAAAAAACCTTTCCATCCTCTGTCTCTTCAGTGAAACAGCTCAGCACATCCTGTGCTCTCTTCACATGTGTATAAGTTTACACTACATAGCAACTTGCATTAAAGGAACAGTGCCAAATCCTATAAAGTTTACACTGTATAGCAAATCTGCATTAAAGTTACAGTGCCAAAATCCTATGGCAATAGAGATCAACTATGCGGGATTACATTCAAGTTACAGTACCTTCCCAAAGGATTACTAGAAACTGAGTACCTTGCTAAGTACATTTTTTTCTTAAGCTTATCACATGAATTGATAAGTGCCGTTTCTGAAGGAATCCGAGTGTGTAAACCATTCTGCCTGAGGGCATATATATGATGGTACCCTAACCAGGGTTATTTACATACATAATGTACCGAGAGTACAAATGTGATTAGATTGCCCATATCGGCAGCGCATGTGACGATACAGGGCATTCCGGTGGGTCAAGATCCACTAGTTTGTCGGTCACTTCAGGGTGCCAAGTTGTCGAGACCTCCAGCAACGAAATATTCACGCATATGGCAGATGGATGTGGTGCTACACTTCCTGAGGGAATGGCCGGATAACCCGTATCCTTCGCTGAAACAAGTTTCAGCCAAACTCACTCTTCTACTATGTCTTGTTTCGTCTCATCGCGTATCGGACATACGGGCATTTAATGGCTACGGTTTCATCTTCACTCTAGAAGGGGTTACCTTCCGGACATCACGTCGGACTAACTCAGACTCCTCGTGGGGTTTTCACCCGGTTTTTGTATTGGACCCCAGGCTGTGTGTAGTTAGGACATTAATGCGTTATATAGAAGCCTCAGCTCCCGTCCAAACAGTGTCGGCGGGTCAGCTGCTGATTTCATATGTGAAACCCCATGGCCCGGTGTCTACTACGACCTTGGCCAGATGGATTCGCTGGCTTCTAACGTTAGCTGGCATTGAGCCATGTTTTGGGGCTCAGTCAGGGGTGTGGCCACCTCACGGGCATTGTCAGCAGGAGCTTCCCTGGCCTATATTATGCGTTGTGCGGATTGGACTCGTGAAAGTGCATTTAGTACGTTCTATTTTAGGCAGAATTCGCATGCCTCATAGCGTTAAAAAATGCAAATAGGAAGCCTCCTGTCATGTGGTAAAATTGAACATTATGCTAGCTTTAGTGTACTAATAATCTTAATTTTAGTAATGACAGGAGGCGAGTATTTCCCACCCTATTGTTTTTTTCCCCTCCCTTTGTGATGTTATTTTGTAAACGTTCTAAATGGTATCTGGTTTATATCGTCTATGATATTGATGTAACATATGTATATAGCATTGACTTTGTTAAATTAAAGGGACACTATAGTCACCTGAACAACTTTAGCTTAATGAAGCAGTTTTGGTGTATAGATCATGCCCCTGCAGCCTCACTGCTCAATCCTCTGCCATTTAGGAGTTAAATCCCTTTGTTTATGAACCCTAGTCACACCTCCCTGCATGTGACTTGCACAGCCTTCCATAAACACTTCCTGTAAAGAGAGCCCTATTTAGGCTTTCTTTATTGCAAGTTCTGTTTAATTAAGATTTTCTTATCCCCTGCTATGTTAATAGCTTGCTAGATCCTGCAAGAGCCTCCTGTATGTGATTAAAGTTCAATTTAGAGATTGAGATACAATTATTTAAGGTAAATTACATCTGTTTGAAAGTGAAACCCGTTTTTTTTTTTCATGCAGGCTCTGTCAATCATAGCCAGGGGAGGTGTGGCTAGGGCTGCATAAACAGAAACAAAGTGATTTAACTCCTAAATGACAGTGAATTGAGCAGTGAAATTGCAGGGGAATGATCTATACACTAAAACTGCTTTATTTAGCTAAAGTAATTTAGGTGACTATAGTGTTCCTTTAAGCTTACAGTTAGCATACATGCATAATAGTTGCTTGTCTAATCGGATATACTATATATGCGGGCAACTTGCCACTTCAGAAACCTTTCACTTATCTCTTTTTCTTTCAGCATCATTGGATACTGATCAAGGACTCATCTTTCTACGTACATGTTTGAAGCTTCCTTTGGTATTCGAATATTGTTGTTGGACTCCAAGTTGGACTGATATTATCGTTTAAATCTTTGTTCTTATGTTTTATTCTACCTGTTTATATCCTCGCTACAAAGAAAGACGAAAGATGTCACTGTCAGGGCCTTTTATGTGCCATCTGACTTTTTTCTGATTGGTTGTTACTGTTTCTGTTCTGCTTGAGATTTTCAGTAAAGAGAGTTACGCAAATACTCGCCTCCTGTCATTACTAAAATTAAGATTATTAGTACACTAAAGCTAGCATAATCTTCAATTTACTGCTATAAAGATTTAACTAGGTCCAAGTGCTCAATCTCTACTTCTCTCTGAAGAAATGTTCTTTCTCTTGTATTCATTTACCCAACTTCCGCCTAGATTGCGATCTTGTTTGCTTTCTGTGATCACCTCCTGTCAACATGTGTCAATTACTTACTGTTATACATCCCCACTGTAAAACAGCTTGTTCTCAGATATGTCCAGATGTGTTTAACCCCTTAAGGACACGACATATGCGACATGTCATGATTCCCTTTTATTCCAGAAGTTTGGTCCTTAAGGGGTTAAAGAATAAGCACACGGAATATTTTACTAAATTTAGAGTTGCTGGAATTTAAAGTGAATTTCATATTTATGGTACAAATAAATACCCCAAACTTGGACAAATTCACTAAATTAGTTATACTTCCAGATCAGCTACGTTTGCCTTAAATGTGAAATTGACTTTGAATTTCCTGAAATTATCACTTTAGCTAATAACCCTGTTGGTGGGGTTATTCACTTATATGTGAATTGTAGAGAATTTCAAATTTTAGGCCTCAAATTTCAAATTTTGAGCTTCAAAAAAAAATTATTGAAGTCAGCCATGTTTTCATGTTAGCATTAACGTTGACATTCACTTTCTCGGTCTTTGCTAAATTAGCTGGCATAGAGAATTAGTACAATTCAGCTATTTTAAACTTAAATTTGAAATTTACTTTGAATTCACCTTGAATTCTCACTTTTGTCATAATTTGGTGAATAATCCTTACAATATTGTTACACATTTTACATATACAAAAATAGATACTCTCAGTAGTTTTCACAGGTATGGTTTAGTTTAGGGGGAGAGAGTGAGAGATAGGACTTTTCAAAGACGGCAGCCCAGAAGATTTTGTGTAGGTTACTTCTCGGGCTCAAATATATATATATATATAAATTTAGCACTTGCCCCGATGACACACACTATACTACAGTGCTGTAAAGTCTATGATGCACAGTTCTCATGGTTACACGTTATTTAAACTTAATTTAAATAAAATAGATGAGGATGTGATAACACCCATATATATGGCGAATATTGACCTCAATAGCCACGATGTCGGCACATTGTGTGGGTGTGGGTTTGCCACCACTCACTTGTGGTAAACTGGCCACGTAGTCTATATGTAAATACAAACATTAACAAATATTGGCCACTAAACCATGCAATATGTTGTTTATATGTCCCAAAATGTCCTAATTGAACATAACAGTACAAACAACAAAATTCTAAACAGAACTTGGGCACCTAAAGTCACACCATTATACAGCGCTGCGGAATCTGTTGGCGCTTTATAAATAATAATAATAATACCAAGGAGCCAGCATTGCTAATACAAGTCATTACATTACAGAGTCCATTATCTGCATTAGATGTCAATGGGGGTTAATGTATCAATGTTTTTATTGGGGTACAGTTAAAGCAGGAAGTTTCCCCATGTAAAGCACAGTGCTGCCCCCCATTACTCTTTATAAACAGACCACCCCCCCAGCCCCGGAAGCCGCCTGGAGTTGGACCAGTGACCCGGAGTAAAGGCAGTGCGCGCCCCCGGGAGTGCGCGGCGAGGACGCGCAGCGCGGGTAGGTGCACAGTTTTCTGGGAGGGTTCAGGGGGTGGACAGACACGAGGGAGGTGGAGGAGAGATCCCAGGTCTGTGCTTCCAGCAGCCGCTCTGCTCCCAGACTTGGAGTGCTCACTCAGTGTCCGGACACTCACCCTCCGGCTGGAGTTTAGCGGTGAGTGAGGAGGCTGCACTCACTGAGTTTGCTGCTTTTGATCCGGACTTGTAGAGTCTGCAGGAGGGCAGGTGTGTGCATTGAGAGCCAGGTAAGACCACCACCACCTACCTGCTCCTGCTGGGGCACTACCTACCCAGGACTTCATCCTTCTCTGTGTGCATGAAACTGATTGCATATAGCTACCTACCCCTCCCAGGGTAATCCCTAACTAGTACCCCTGGCTATGTTTGCATGCACCTCTGGGAACCAGCTTCCTTCTTACCTCCCCATCCAAGGGTGCCCTGTCTAGGGTTACATCCTTACAATGTTTGCATGCAGCTAATTAGAGATTAATTCCCTACCTGCACCCAGGGTGCTTGATGTAGGGGTGTTAACTAACTAGTACCCCTTGTTATATGGGTGCATACAACTAATTAATTAGAGATTAGTTCCTTACCTATACCCCAGGGTGCTTTATGTAGGGGTATTAACTAACTAGTACCCCTTATTAGTTGGGTGCATACACCTAATTAGAGCTTAGTTCCTTACCTGCACCCCAGGTGCCCCACTGTAGAGGTGCTAATTTGCTAGTACCCTTTGTCATGTGTGTGTGCATTCATTACCAGCCCAGGTACCCTATGTAGGTTTACATACTAACACCAACTAGAAGGCATTTAAGTAAATAAATAGACTGTTCCCTACTTAT